AAAGATGGTGTCTATTTATTTGTGACCAAGCTGTGTGTATATATACACACATACACACCTGTTATTCAAAATATTTAACATTTTTTAGATATAAGAACCAAGGAATTTGAATGAAAATTGTATGGTGAATGGTAATGTAATATGGATGAAAGTTAACACCTGACAACAAATGTATCTTTTTATTCACTTTAACTAATGCAAATCAAATAAACACCTCATGTTGCATAAAAATATCTTGATTTATTTATCATCTCCAATGATAATATGAGGACTATTTAAATACACAGCAAACTTATAGCAACTAATAAGATTCATCCTCAATGTTTTAGACTATTTAATTTTTTAATCTCATGCTTTAACACAAAACTTACATAAAACTAGTTTGTTATTGTACTTAAATATTTTCAAAATCCAAAGAGTATTAATAATGCATTTGCTTATCTATTTTTCTAACAGTCAAGTTTGAAGATACATTTTTCTTGCTAGTTATTACATGATTTTTTTATCATTTGAGTATACTTACAGGTAAAAACAAAGAAACATATGTTACTTAAGACATATGGTTAGCAGGTAATAACTCACTGACAAACAACTTTTATATATGGAAAGCATGCTGTTGAAGCAGATAGGTTTTGACACACTCACATCAATCTTCATTAGATTCTTTTACCTTTTCAGAGGTGTCAGGTTTTATTCATGGGCTGGATTCTTTACAGTAGGTGTGTGTGACTTGTTTGCAATATATTTCAACAATAAACAAACAGCACACTATCCACTTGTTTTAAAATAATATATTAAATCAAGTCAAATGTATATACAAATGTTCATTACATTGTTGGTTATCACAGTTGTATCCAGAGCTTTAAATAATTGTCTCTTTTCCATTAAAGTCCACACAGTCTAGTTTAGTTACTTGAGAACACAATTTCACAAGACAAATTATTCTCCCTGTTCTGTTATTACAATAAAGTCTGTGATAATTTTTGTCAAAGTCCACACAGGCTGGTTCAATTACTTTAGAACACAAATGATAAGACTAATTCTTTTTCTTTACTCTGTTATTACAATATAATCTGTGATAATTTCACTTTAAAAATTGCCACTATCCACTGTTTGTGGCTAAATTCACAATCACCAAGTCTAAATCTACCTATCTCTTGAACTAAATTTTCAACAGAGGTCTAGAACATTCCAAACACTACTAGATTTTATGATGCAATAATACTCAATTAAAACAATAAGAAAAACTCGGAAAGTTATGGTAACATGACACAATAATATAACAATCACCCATTCATAGCTATTGAAATACACAGCATATGATTCATTATCAGTTATGCAAACAAACTTGCGATAAACTGTTGCTTCTAAAAATAACTAACTTTAATACTAGCACTATATAAACTATCTAAATCATAACCAACACTAACTTAAACTGAAACAGTTGTGAATATCTAACACAGTGTGTTATGTATAAGATAGGAAAAACGAGTTGAATCCAAAAATTATTAATTCAGAGTCTCTGTCAGGAGCTGATTTTCTGTTTCTAACGTGTAAAAACTTTCTTAATTTTTCTACTTTTGTAGTTATTGTTTTTGTCAGTGATTTTACAACTATTCCAGCTAACATAAAACATTCTTCTAAATGTTTTCCAGTTTCTCCAATATCTTATTTTCCACAGCTGCATGAGGTTTTATAATACAGCTCCTTTAACTGTGAAAGATACAGGGGTTGTTTTTTATGGGAAAGTATTATATGAAGGATTTAAAGCAAACTTGACTTAAAACTGTTAAAAATCTTTTGTATACTGTAATTTGGTTCTGAAATAAAGGGAACAGTTGTTCTTCCATGAGGCTTTCGTTACAGTTTTTGGAGGTTATTCATAGTCTGCAAATTTGTTCAATTGATGCTGTTAGGATATCCACTGAATATGAAGACTGTTTTATGTGTTTCAGTTCAGTTTCTAATGGTTGTACATCTTTTCTGATGATAAGAATGGAAAATAAGATATCTGATTTTGTGTGTTGATTTTATGTAAGTAGTGGTAGTAAGGTTGCAAACTTCTCTGTGAATAAGAACATCTTAAATGGGTACAGTTATGTTCTCTTCCAAATGAACCATGAATTTTATATTGCTGTGTAATGAAATTCAAATGAAATAGAAAGTCTGTAAATATACAGGTGGCAGATTACAAAGGTATTGGTGACATAATGTTTCCAGAGTTTTAGTATGAGAGAAGATAAAGTCAGGAATATATGTTTGAATCTCTGCATGTAAGTTTCAATGAGAAGCAGTGAAAATTGAGAACACATTGCTAAACTGTCTGTCTATTCAAACAAATAATTCTGAAGTTAGAAGTATGAGTTGCTGGTGCAGATGGCTATTAATTCCATAATTGCAACGGGTGAGAAATTAGAACAATTAGATAGTATTTTATTAGATTATAGTTTATGTCTGGTAACAATGAGAGTTTCTGAAACATTAAAAAAGAAAACAAGTAATAAACAGAGATTATGAATTAGAAATTATCAATTTGTGGCTTCAAATACTCAAAAAACCAGCAAATGGAATTTCGGCAATCTTGAACCTCTGAACAAATCACAGTTTAGGATTCGTGAACCATCCAGGAACATGTATACAATGCAAAGCCTTCTATTTCATTCATGTTTTCATTTTGTACATAACAAACTAAAATGGTCATGGATCTAATAAAATTTTTCTTTAGTGTATCGACAAAGGTTACCATTTGACCTATTCAACAGCATGCAGGCTGTCCATATATAAATATTTTTGTCAAAGAAACAAATGTTCTGGACAAGAATGATACTTCTATACACAATCCTTTACATTTTCTTAAAACCTTTCGTGATGTATTGTTTCCTACCCTCTTCTTGGAAGATTCCATTCTTTACAAGTTTGAAAGATATGAATGTAGCACCTTCTTCCTGCAGAGTTTTAGAGTGAGGAGGCATAGACCCTGGTGTAACTCCTCCTATATCTGCATGATGTCCCCTGCTAGCCACAAAAAACATGGGTTTTTCAAAGCCTTTATAGAAAACCTGAAGAAGAAAAGTATTTTTTTAAATGAATTATATAAAAAACAAGGAATTAAACAGGTGAATAATGTACAGGATCTACAATCAATTTTCAACTCACTATAGAATGATCACATAAAAGTAGAAATGATGTATACTGAGTATGAAGTAGCCTAGTCTGAAATTATTGACAGTATACATAAAGACAAACATACCAAAATTAGTTAACATTTTCTTAACTCGAAAATGTATTTCCAATAATACTTACCTCCTATCACACTTACAGCTATTACTAGACTGCCAAGGTTTCTTCCATTGCCTATCTAACATTGGTCTGTTTTTTTCTTGCTTGCTCCAGTCTTTTATACCCCACTTAATTGCACTTAGCAATATTTGTAGTGTGACACTCTCCACCTAAGTCAATGTGCACTCAATCATGGTACTGTATATATCACATCATTCAGATAATGTTATTACTTTTTTTTGTTTTTTTGAGACTGACTCAATCCCATTCTCTGACACTGGCTCTTAGTGGGAAGGTAGGGTGGGAGAGTGTCAGTGAAGGTAAGTATTATTGGAAATACATTTTCAATTTAAGAAAATGTTAACTTCCAAAACATATTTACCTTCCCCTCACAGTTAGAATCCCACATTGATAAGGTTGAGGGGCCAGTGAGGGCATTATCTATACAGAAAGCATCTGCATAGATCATGAGTGTGTCAAGAGAAGATTGACACCCTAGTGGGAGAGCTGCACTACTTTCTGAACAATGTACTGCACCAATATTCATCAAAAATAAGGGCCACGCTCAACCCAACTGGATAGCTGAGCATCAGATTTCAACCTCTATTACGAGTAGATTCCCGCATAGGCTAGTGCCTCTCCTACTGATACCAAGTTCCCTAAATTTTCAAAAGCAAACTGAACCTTATTTAGTCAATTCAATGATTGGCAGGGACAGGCAGGATCCCCTTATGCTTTACTCATGATAGTTCATGAGTGGCAGTCCAGCATAGTATAGTAGTACCACTCGGTCAACCTCTAAGTGGTCTTATGGAACACCTCATTGAAACCTGTATAAAGTATATTGAATTAGTGGTTGCTAGTGTGGAATTGATTTGATAAAAGTACACCTGCTTGGGCAACACTTGCCACTGAGTGAGATCCTGTGAAAACATGGTAAGGGACCCTTAAAGGTAGCAATGAAAATACTCACCCCTCTGTATAATCTAGCAGAAGTGGTTAAGATAGCTACAGGGATAGACAATAACCCTCAGAAGAAGATACTGCCAGATCATGCAAATAATGTGAAATAAAAGTATTGTGGGAGATCCACATACTAGCCTACACAATGTCCTCCAGTGGGCAATTCAACCAGGTCATTAAGGACACAGAAATGTGATATATCTGATTAGACATCACTCACAGAAGATTTCTCACATTCAAAGAGAGCCCAGAATAAAATGTCGTTGTCTAGCATCTCTAAAGGCATTAGCATGGACAACAGAACCTTCAAGACCCTCACTGAATGTGACAACAATCAAAATCTGATTGATCATAGAAGTGAAAAATATTGATCAGGTGAATTGGTGAAAAGCATTTATCCCCTTTCCTGTCTGACAGTGTCTTGGGTAAGAAGAACTGGTCTGAGGACATAGGTAGAATGATATAGCATTCTGTGGGCAAATAGTGCAAACCACCCCAACCACCAATGTCTGTAGGTCAGCAACAACAGAAAATAAGACTTCAGGTAAAGGTGATACATGGCATATGAGAACCAGGTCACAAACAGGTGTTGTGAAAGGGTATATAATGCCACCTTAATATATCAGTTAGGTAATTGGACAAAGGACCCAAAACGACTTGAGGAATGTTGAGAGTACTGGAGACTCAAAGAAAACTTTGTCATGAGTATTGAATGGTAGTGAAAAAGGCCACCTTATACAGGGCAATTGTGAAAGATTGAAAAAACCCTTGCAAAAGAGCCAGGTCAAAAAACAAGATATGGTTCGCACTTTTGATCAAAATGGGTTCAACCTCCTTTTAATAAACCATTGCTGATATGCGTGTCATTTCCATTGATAAATGTCCATCGCAGGACTAAGCAAAGACTTTGAAAGACATGGCAACCTTAGAAATTAAACCGTGATGCCATGTGAAAGACTGCATAACCTCTATGCCTGAAGCTTGAGCTTCTAAATAGCTGGTTATGCCATATCATATCATGGCTGCCTCTACAGAGATAGCCTAAGAAGAAGTGGAAGTGGTGGACCCTCCTGAAGGTACTGCAGAAGCAGAAATCACAACATAACTGTCAATCCAGTGCTATTAACAGGACCCGACAAAGGGTTTGAACATACAAATTGGAGGGAAGGCCTAGAGCTGTAATCCCATCCTGTCCTGACAGAATGCATCCATTGTCGAAGCCCGAGGATGAGGTACTGGAGACCAAATTGCTAGTAGTTAGGTGTTCCAATGTAAAATAAGAGCCAATCCAACAAACCTAGCAATTCAGCATCTATTCTGTTGTGAAAAGCCTGTCAATTTTTCCCTTAATAAGCCCAGATCATGAAGCATTGCCTTTTGAAGAGCAAGAAGAACTAAAACATTGTGTAGGGAATTCTCATCATTAGTGTGTTGACCCTGGAATTCCTGACTGTTGTAACATGTACCCCATCCCTGAAGAGAAGGCATTCAAGAAGAGATGGAATTCTGGATGTGGTGGGAGCAGAGGAAACCCATATCTTAGTAGTGTCCTGAGTTAACAACTCCTCAAGATCAAAGAATGATCCTGATTAAGGAAACTAGGGAATCCAGTGAATCGATTTTTATTATCCCTTGGTTGCATAAAGACCATTAAAAGGGTCTCTTGTGCTTTCGTCCCCAAAGGCATGAAGGATTCAAGTGATATCTACATTTCCAGAAGAGAAAGAAACATCTGTCCAGTGAGAGAAGAAGAGGTGAGTAAGAGTTGGGCTTTCTGTTCCATAGTGTGTAGCTGGATGAGAGTCAGCTGAGCCTGACTGATAGATGTGATGAGAAAAAAAAATATCCAGACTGATTGCATATTGAATTGGAGCAAGAATGTCTCAGTTCTGAGAATGAAGTCTGCCTTGTTTTTTTCTGAAAGTAGAATCAGGGTGTGACCTTCTGAGAATTGTTGAGATGGTACCAGCAGTAATCAGTCGTCTATGGAATGATGTGTGCACAGAACCCACATAAAGCTGATGTTAGTCTGAAGGTAAAAACCATGATCTGCAGTACTTGACCCTTGCACACAATAAATGTGGATAGTGTTGGGATGCTACCACTATGACAATGTGAAGATAGGAACTGACTACAATGAACTTGGACATCTACAATCCCTGTAAAAAATATCAACTCAGATTGAGGAATGAGTAACTTGTGAACCTTGGAAAATCTAGGCATTGATAGAGACGAGAAAGATCGATGACTGGACAAAAATCTCCTGTCTTCTTAGGCTCAACAATTGATTAAAATAAAACCCCAGAATAACTAGCATGACTCTCTCACTACCCACAGAACAACCAAACTCTGACAGCCCTATAACTAAGTTCCAAATCCAAAGGATCTTGGGGAAACAGAAACCCTACAGGTTGGGTGAATAATAGTGATGAAGATGTGATCTGAATGACTAATCCTGACTCAAGGCCATGTAGTGCTCCTGGATCGGTGGTTAAGGTTACCACACATCCAGAAATTCTTGGAACCAAGCCCCCACAGAACCCAAAGATATACAATAATCACTGACAAAACTGGTGGTGATCAGACCAAGCAGTGGAAGCATTGGATATAGACAGACTATTGTTGGTACCAATGTACTAAGGGGCTATGTCGGGAGTCGGAACCCTCTAATAGGTGTGAAGCTATGATCCAATGTAGGAGCCAATAAAATTCGAGATGCCAATGACAACAGGGATGACAATCGAACCAATGCAATGTTTATGCTAACAATGGTTCCAGCTCATCATCAATGAAGTTGGAATTTAGAGTCCATAGTTTTATCCTGTCCCACTAGGGGACATTGATCTTTTTTGGTTAACTACAAATTCCTCTTTAGAACTCCTAAATTCGAGGAGCAGATGTAATATATGAGTGTCAGAATATGCTTCTACCTGGCAGTGACAGGCTAAATCACAAAGTTCCAACCACTGTGTCAGATAAGGCATAATTGTCCTTTCACGTTACTGAGAAAGAAACCTCCCTGCATGAACAACAATGTCCCTGGATGGAGAGATAACTAAATGTTTGCTTCCAGACCTTTCATCCATCATATAATGCAGGTTTAAAAGCAACTGGGAGGAGACCCAAAACATCACACTCTTGATGAAAACTGAAGAAAATAAATCAAAGGCTGTTTATTCCAAAGTGGCCTCCTTTTTGTTTTTTACTATCATGTAAAGACTGTGTTGATTACCATTGATTGGAACAACATTTAGTCATGTAGGTTTGTTTTGTTAGAGCAAAGCAGCATTGGGCTATCTGCTGTGTCCATCATAAGGAATCAAACCCCAAATTCCAACATTGCAAGTCTGTAAACTCACTGCTGTCTCACAGGGGGACTGAAAAGCTAACAGACTAAAAGAAGGCATAGGAAAAAATAAATCTAAATTTTCTCCAGAATGTTGAGGATTGCTTGCATTTGCAGGCTGAGAGCCATCTGGAGGAACACCATGGAACCAAATATATGTCTCCATCTCACTCTGAATAAAATCACTGACAGTCTCAACTGAATGACTCCCCCTCCCCCTTCAGATTGCTGTACAATGTTAAATATCAGAGGTGGGATTGAAGAGACCTGATTTCAGCTATGCCAGTAATAATAATCAGGGAATTCATACCACAAATTGGCTTTCCAATCGTTTTTTTTTAAAACGAAAATTAACTTTGTAACACGGAAAAAACTCAAGGTAACTCAGAACGATTGTAGCACTGGGAAACCTGTTATTGATGATTTATTGAGAAAATTGATAACATTATCTGACTGAGGTGCTTATATACA